CCCAGTGACATGAATCTCTTAATTAGGGAAGTGCTACTCTGCTGCTGCTGCCGCTAAGTCGCTACTCTAGACTCACAGAATCCAATGATCTCAGTCAGTTCAGTTCAGTCGCTCAGTTGCGTCCAACTCTTTGAGACCCCATGAATCACAGCACGCCAGGCCTCCCAGTCCATCACCAACTCCCAGAGTTTACCCAAACTCATGTCCATCGAGTCGGTGATGCCATCCAGCCATCTCATCCTCTGTCGTCCCCTTCTCCTCCTGCCCCCAATCCCTCCCAGCATCAGGGTCTTTTCCAACGAGTCAACTCTTCACATGAGGCGGCCAAAGTATTGGAGTTTCAGCTTCAGCATCAGTCCTTCTAATGAATATCCAAGACTGAACTCCTTTAGGATGGACTGGTTGGATCTCCTTGCAGTCCAAGGGACTCTCAAGAGTCTTCTCCAACACCACAGTTCAAAAGCATCCATTCTTTGGCGCTCAGCCTTCTTCACAGTCCAACTCTCACATCCATACATGACCACTGGGAAAACCACAGCCTTGACTAGACGGACCTTTGTTGGCAAAGTAACGTCTCTGCTTTTTAATATGCTATCTAGGTTGGTCACAACTTTCCTTCCAAGGAGTAAACGTCTTTTAATTTCATGGCTGGAATCACCATCTGCAGTGATTTTGGAGCCCCAAAAAATAAAGTCTGACATTGTTTCCACTGTCTCCCCATCTATTTCCCATGAAGTGATGGGACCAGATGCCATGATCTTAGTTTTCTGAATGTTGAGCTTTAAGCCAACTTAAAGCTCTCTTTTTCACTTTAAGCCAACTTTTTCACTCTCCTCTTTCACTTTCATCAAGAGGCTTTTTAGTTCCTCTTCACTTTCTGCCATAAGGGTGGTGTCATCTGCATATCTGAGGTTATTGATATTTCTCCCAGCAATCTTGATTCCAGCTTGTGCTTCTTCCAGCCCATCGTTTCTCATGAAGTACTCTGCATAGAAGTTAAATAAGCAGGGTAACAACATACAGCCTTGACGTACTCCTTTTCCTATTTGGAACCAGTCTGTTGTTCCATGTCCAGGTCTAACTGTTGCTTCCTGACCTGCATACAGATTTCTCAGGAGGCAGGTCAGGTGGTCTGATCTTCCCATCTCTTTCAGAATTTTCCACAGTTTGCTGTTATCCACACAGTCAAAGGCTTTGGCATAGTCAATAAAGCAGATGTTTTTTTGGAACTCTCTTGCTTTTTCGATGATACAGCAGATGTTGGCAATTTGATCTCTTGTTCCTCTGCCTTTCCTAAAACCAGCTTGAACATCTGGAAGTTCACGGTTCATGTATTGCTGAAGCCTGGCTTGGAGAATTTTGAGCATTACTTTACTAGCGTGTGAGATGAGTGCAATTGTGCAGTAGTTTGAGCATTCTTTGGCATTGCCTTTCTTTGGGATTGGAATGAAAACTGACCTTTTCCAGTCCTGTGGCCACTGCTGAGTTTTCCAAATTTGCTGGCATATTGAGTGCAGCACTTTCACAGCATCATCTTTCAGGATTTGAAATAGCTCAACTGGAATTCTATCATCTGTGCAAGCTTTGTTCGTAGTGATGCTTCCTAAGGCCCACTTGACTTCACATTCCAGTATGTCTGGCTCTAGGTGAGTGATCACACCATCATCATTATCTGGGTCGTGAAGATCTTTTTTGTACAGTTCTTCTGTGTATTCTTGCCACCTCTTCTTAATATCTTCTGCTTCTGTTAGGTCCCTACCATTTCTGTCCTTTATCGAGCCCATCTTTGCATGAAATGTTCCCTTGGTATCTCCAATGATTTATGGGTCCCTAAATACACAGGACTGTTCCTAGCTTTTGCCAGTGTTATTCCCCCTGCCTGGAATGTCCTTGCCTTTCTTCCTCACTTGACTGCTCCTACTTATCTCCAAGACCTAATGTGGAGTCAGGGAGCCTGACCCCTCCAGCTCTGTTTTCCTTGCAAATCAGGGACTTCCCTGGTGGTCCAATGGTTAAGAATCCACTTTCCAATGCAGGGGACTGGGATTCGATCTGTGCTCCAGGAATATTCCACATGCTTCAGGGCAACTAAGCCTGTGCACCACGACTACTGAGCCCAAGCACCCTAGAGCCCATGCTCAGCAGCAAGAGAAGCCATCACAATGAGAATCTCAGCACTGCAACTCGAGAAAGCCCAAGCATAGCAACAAAGACCCAGTGCAGCCAAAAATAAATTTTAAAAATGTTTTAAAGATTTTTCAAAGCAGAAATAGAGACATAGAAGTAGAGAACAAATGCATGGATACCAAGGGTGAAGGGAAGGTGGTGGGAAGAATTGGGAGATTAGGATTGACACATACACACTATTGATTGTTGTTGTTCAGTTGCTAAGTCATGTCTGACTCTTTTTGACCTCAAGGACTGCGCCATGCCAGGCTTCCCTGTCCTTCACTAGCTCCCGGAGTTTGCTCAAATTCATCTAACCATCTGCTGCCCTCTTCTCCTTTGGTCTTCAATATTTCACAGCATCAGGGTCTTTTTCAATGAGTTATCTCTTGATATGACACATAAAATGGATAACTAATGAGGACATACTGTATATCACAAGGAACTCCCTTGTAATGTACTGTGGCAACCTGAATGGGAAGGAAATTCAAAAGGGAGGAGATAATATGTGTATGTATGTATGGCAGATTCATTTTGCTGTACAGTAGAAAACAGCACAACACTGTAAAGCAAACTGTACTCAAATCAAAGTTAATTTAAAAAAAAACAGCATGGGCTTCATATTCTCTGACCCAAACTGAACAGGTGCCTCCTCTGTGTCCACAGCCCCTGGTGCATCCTTCTATCACAGCACTGATCACCTGGCTTATCATAGGTTCTGTCTCAGACCAGGGAACATAGCCTATTTTGCAGTACAGTACTTGGCATGAAGTAGGAGCTTAGGAAGTCATAATTAGAATGAAGTAAAATGAAGTAGCCAAATACTTGACTCCATAAAATTTTAATCAAAATATATTTTTACAGTATTTACTCACTGCCAGACCATATGCCAGGCACTATGGGTATAAAGATAAACAAGACTCATTTCCTGTCCTCATGAAGCTTTCTGGAGACAGATAAGGGAACAAGCGCACCCAGGGGAGATGGGTACTGTGACTGCTGCATGCATAGGGTACTCTATCTAAGTGGGGTAACCAAGAAAAGAGCTGGGGAGGTGTATTTTGAAAGCTGAGTGGGGGTGAGTGGGAGAAGGGGGTTAAAAAGAGCCTTTCAAACAGAAGGGGTATTGTTGGTCCAGGGAAAGTGCAGGGCATCTTGGGGACAGCAGGCTGAAGGCATAACATAGCCAGAGGTCACTCATGTGTGGGCTTGGCCATATGCTTACTATCCTGTGAACCACAGGAATGGGTATAGACACATTCTATGGGCCCTGAGGACACCTGTGATGGGGTAAGAACCATCAAGAGCCAAATGGCCCACCCTCCCTATTTATTAAGCACCTTCATTGTGCTAATTTCTATTCCAGGCCACAATGGAGAATAGGAGAGGGAAGAAAGAAGTATAGGACACTCCGCTATACATGTCCTCGTAATATACATAATAGAAATATATACAACACAAATTCATACTTATATATTACACAATTTACCCACCTACCAGCCCAAATATCTGAACTTCAGAAACTGGCAGAGAATATAACTTTAAACTCCCTTCTCCTTAATACTTACAGCACTGAGGTTGTGAGAAATACTGGCTAAAAGCTAAGCAGTACACGCATTCTTCTAAAAGAAGACTTATCTAAGGTGATCCTATATTAAACCCCAATAGGAAAAAGAAAAGAAAAGCTTCTCTTTTAAGCAGGTGTAGGGAGGTGTCCTGCTGTGTGGCCACTAAGACACACGTGAGACACCTGGGTCTCAATGGAGCACAAGGATCAAGGTTCATTAACCTTGGAAAAAGAGCATCACTGAGCAAGCAGCATGTTTAATCTACATTGTCTCGTGACTTCACACAATCACTTTCACTGTGAATTGTATTTTGGTGACAAAACACCAGTTTACACTGACAGAAATTGTAAGACACAGCCTACGATATTCAGTGTTGTAGTTGCTATAAAGGATGTTTGATATTAAGATCATCATCACACTCAGCATATAGAGTCTGTTCTACAGTTGCCGGGCTTCCCAAGTGGCTCAGTGGTAAAGAATTTGCCTGCCAATGCAAGAGACGCAAGAGATGCGCGTTCAATCCTTGGGTTGGGAAGATCCCCTGGAGAAGGAAATGGCCACCCACTCCAGTATTCTTGCCTGGAAAATTCCATGGACAGAGGAGCCTGGCAGGCTACAGTCCATGGGGTCACAAAGAGTCAGATACAACTGACCATACACACACTCAGTCTACAGTTGTCGGTGGAGAGCAGTGCTTCTCTGGAATAATGGGTTTGTTTCTATCTTAAGGACCATCTCTGAACCATATAACTGATTATGTTTCCCTCTTTGCAATGGTTGCTAGGAAGCTCAAAGTGACTATTTCAGTCCAGCTCTTGCACATGCCCCAAAACTTATAAAATATAGTTACCTCACCCCTGGCCTTCTCTTATGTTCTCCTACCGTTGCCTTTTTTCCCCTTGCTCCAGTTGTCTCATTTTTTGTTGATATACTATGACAATGTTATAAGATACCTCAAATCCTTTGTGGAATGAACTGGTTTAAAAAAAAGATTTCATATATTTAAATTTTATTGATACATCCAGTGTAACAAAATATATATATATATATATATATATATATATCATAAATAATGCATTACCTAGAATTCATTATCGTGAAGCCCACGTGTATATGCCCTAAATATGAAACAACACACACAGAGCACATATGCACATAATTCAGGATCACAGCACATCCTTAATGTCCCAAATACAAACACACACTTATTCCCTCCATTTGCCCCACTCCAGTGCACACATGCACCCACATGTGTCATGTACATACCAAGCTGCTCTGCGAGGAGCCGGCCCTTCTCAGTGGGAACAACCCTCTCCTCCTCCATATCACACTTGTTCCCCACCAGGATGACCTGCGCATTGTCCCAGGAGTAGGTCTTTATCTGAGTAGCCCTAAAGAGAGACAGGGAGAGGACTTGTGTTACTGATGTTACTGACTCCCTCCTAGGCTAGAAAGGAGCCCGAGGAGCTCACAGAAGCCCCTTCGACAGGGTTGCAATCCCACAAGCCATGCATTGTGGCCAGTAAAAAAACCTTTTCTCGACAAGTTTTTGAAAGTGAGCATGTATTATTTCTAAAATGAGAAATAAACTTTTAAATAGAGGAAATAAAACCAGACCTTTATATTGAGCATACATTTTTATGAAGCAGGTCTAACTCAGTCCCCCAACACCTCATAGGTAGGAACAGTTACCCCCCTTTTGTTTCCCTACACCTTTACTGTGGCATCTGTTATTACATTTGGCTGGATTTATCTGTCTCTCCTTGAGGGCAGAGATAGGTTTATTCTTTTTTATATGTAATTTTATTTATGTATTTATTTTTTATTCTTGGCTGTACTGGGTCTTTGCTGCCATGCCGGCTTGTCTCTAGTTGCAGCGAGTGGGGGCTACTCTTCAATCCCCTGCACAGGCTTCTCACTGTCGTTGCTTCTCTTGTCGCAGAGCACAGGCCGTAGACAGCGCAGGCTTCAGGAGTTGCAGCACGTGGGCTCAGCAGCTGTGGCTCCTGGGCTCTAGAGCACAGGTTCAGTAGCTACGGGGCACAAGCTTAGTTGCTCCACAGCATGCGGGATCTTCCCAGGCCAGAGATCAAACCCATGTCTCCTGCAATGGCCGGCGGATTCTCTTCCACTGAGCCACCAGGAAAGCCCCGTCTTTGTGGTGCCAGCCCCCCCGCCCCCCAGCATATAGAGAAGTCAGTGAATGTCTGACAAAGGAAGGAGCCAGCAAATAGTTAATCCTGAAGAAGATCTAAATAAACTCTGATCCTATCCTGATACTGACAGTCAATCTAACTCAACCTTAACTGCAGACTGAACCAACTACCAACCCTGCTCCTAAAGCTGATTTCACTACCCATCTTCTCTTTAAGGGTGAAAAGTCACTTCCTCAATGGATGGAATTCACTCAACCACCATTTGTGGTGAAACTACATAGAGCCAGTTCTGCTCTGGGCACTGAGGTTTAGATGGCAGATGGGTGCTAGGTTGGGACCAAGTTTCCCAGAGGCAAAATTGAAGGTCAGAGCTTGGAAAAGACAGACTTCAGCCTCAAGGCAGGGACCTGGAGCCAACTCCCTGTGCCACTCTCTGTCATCTTCCTCCCTCCTCCCACCTCCATCCACTCTCAGCTCCTAGATTAGCAACTTAGGTTATTCTTGGAGGAATCAACACCAGGTGTTAAAGTCACTGTGTTCCTGAGGCAGGATGAACAGGAACTGATGGAGAAAGGGAAGGAGGTCAAGGCTGGCAGGGAATGGGCATTGTGGAGATACTTAAAGAAAGAGCTAATCTCTTCATGGTGGGAGGTGAGGATGAGAGGACATAGGGAGAGGGGAGAAGGGAGGAGGAGGGAAAAGTCACGACTGGAGGGAAGGGAGAGAATAAGAAAGGGAAAAAAAACAGGAGGAAAAAAAGGTATAATGAGAGAGCAAGAGAAAAAAGAGGGAGGAAAGGAGAAAAAAAGGAAGGTGGAGAAAAGGAGTTGTTAAAAGGAAAGAGGGAGAAAGGAGGAAGAAGGGAATGACCAAGAGGCTGAGAAGAACACATGAGTGACAGGCATGTGGGTGGCACCCTAGACTGCTGCTCAGAACTGGGAAGTGGGGGTAGGCAGCCTGAAAGTTCACTCCCAGCTCAAGGCTTCAAGGAACCAATGGTGCCTCACATAGTCATGGCAACTGTTCCTTGGCAGAAGCAAAGTCTTCAAAGAGTAGCTGTTGGGCAAAAAAGAGCAGAAGACAAGCTTGGCACTGGCCAGCACTGCTGCACTGTGCCCAGACTGCTCTGCCTCTCCGACTGTGGATAAGGACCAGGCACAGATTCTCCATCTTCCACATTCTTATCCTCTCCACTGAAAAGGGACACCCGGTCCTGGCCTTCCCTCTTCGCCTCTCCTTCTCTTCATGCTCCCTTCTCCTTGTGAGTAATTTTCCAGGGAGAAAGAAGTAAGTCAGCAGTCCCCACCCATTTTGGCACCAGAGACTAGTTTGATGGAAGGCAGTTTTTCCAGGATTGGGGTAGGGGAATTTAGTTCAGGCAGTAATGCAAGAGATGGGGATGTGGCCTGGGGGTGCTAGGGGCCTCTGATATAAGTTGCTCAGAGGCTATACCTCTAGGGAATTGTGTCAGATTCTATTGTATATTGAACTGTTATGAACTTGACCCCCCACCCCCCAGCCAAGGGATAAACTTTATAGGGAAACAATATGTGGATTCACTTAGTAATCTATCCAGAATGAATTTTTCTAAAACACTAATCTGAACCTGTTGTTTCCCGGTTCAAATGTCCTTACCTACAAATAAAATCCAAAGTCCCTACCCCAGCACATAAAATCCTTCATGACCTCTGCTCTTCCTACCTTCTCACCTACCTTCTTGCCTTTGCACATCTGTACTCTTTTTCTGCAACATTCTCATCCATTTATCCCTCTGGCTAATTCTTGTCCATCTTCAAACCGTAGTATGTCAGCAATTCCAGGACACATTCCCTAACTCCCCAAGCTAGGTTTCTACAGCCCAGGTACCACTCTCATCGCTGTACCTGTCACAGGATATTGTCATTGCTTGCTCACTGATCTATCCTCTCTGCTCATCTGTGAACTTTGTGAAGACAGGAGCCATGTCTTATTCATCTGGTTTTCCCTAACACATAGCGTAGGGCTTAGCACAAGCTAGGGTTTCATGAACAATTTGATGGATGGATGAATGAATGAATCTCATACCAGTCTTGGACAGCATTGAAAGATTCCTCATTGGTGATGTCGTACATCAGAATGAAGCCCATGGCTCCCCGGTAATAGGCTGTGGTGATGGTCCGGTACCGCTCCTGCCCAGCTGTGTCCTAGGTGGGGAAAGGAAGGAGTCAGCCTCATAGAAAATCTGTTTTTGTTTCTAAAAAGTCCCCAGGACAATTAACTAATAATCCAAAGTATATTTAAAGAGCATCTATTATTTACCTTGTACTTGGTGACTATAATAAAATGGTTTTTGAAACATCATAGAAATTAATAAGAAAATAATTAAAATCCCAGTAGAAAAATGAGCAGGAGGAAAGAACATTTCACAAAAGAACTGTAAATAGATAATTATTATATTAAAGATTTTTCTTTGTTTTTAATTATAATTCTGTTACAGACAAGGATGTAGTGAGATGTACAACCTTACACCTTGTTTGTGGAAGTGGAACTTGGTTCAGTCTTTCTGGAAATCAATTTGGAAGTCCCAAGAGTATTAAAAATATTTGTACCCTTTGATTTGGAAATTTTTCCTTCTAAAAACTTTTTTACAAAAATAGAAAATCAGACTAACATTAATATTTATGCACAAAAATTTTGGTTACAACTCTATTTAAACAGTGTAAAAGTATCATTAACATATATCCAACTTTAGAATGGTTATATGTTTATTTACATAACATGGAACAATGCTTGTATGTGCAATGTAATGTCAGTTTCATAACGATATTTGCAGAGAAGAAAACTGAAAAGAAACATATCAGAAGGTTAATAGTGACTATCTCTGTAAGAAAGGTAAGAATTATCAGGATTTTCGTTTTCTTCAGGTATTTTTACTGTCTCTAATGCTAAACATGTATTATTTATACAAGGAGAAACAAACATTTTCACTAAATATATATATATATATATATATATGACTAAGACAATTCTTTATCTCAAGCAGCTCACAGTCTAGTAGGAAAGACAAACACAAACAAGCTAAGTCAAATCAGACAATAAAGCATTAATGGAATACTCTGGGGTACTTCACAATGTCCACACAGTCCTCATGTCAGGGACCAATCAATCTTCTCTGCATCATTATAGTTTTAGATGTGTGATACTGGAGCACATATAAAACATTTCTTCATATATTACCTCATTTAAATTTTATTAAAAAAAACTGTGAGGTAAGGATCAGTATTTACATTTTATAGTTGAGAATGCAAAACTGCAGAGAGGGTGAGTGACTTTTCCAAGGACACAAACTGGTTAAAAAAAAAAAAAGCTATGTCTTAAATCTAGTACTTTTGATTCCAAGTCTGATGCATATACCATTATACCTCAGTCAATGAAAGGTTTATCCACAGGCATTTACTGAACACTACCCGTAATGATATTAAAAACAAAAAAATGGGAACAAAAGAATTATAACATGCCATTATTAGTACATATGTTACACCTATTATCCACAAACTTTAGAAAAACCCTGTAAGGTACATATTATTACTCCCACTTTACAGTTGAGAAAACTGAGGTTCACAGAGACTGTCCATCAAATGTAAGAATTGGGATTCAAAACAAGTCTGTCTGTCTGACTCCTACACCTATTTCAGTAGCTCACCTTGGCTATGAATCATAATTTGTGTGAAACAGAAATGGAACAAGCATTATCCTTGCCCTCAGGAAGGCTCAGAAAAAGTATAGAGGTGGCAAAGACATACCACCAAACTCATAATTAGCAATGTCATCAGTATCAAATAAGTGGTATAAAGAAAATGTGTCACACGATTCAGATAAAGTAGAAATATGGTGATTTAGGGTAGTTATGAAAGATGTCAAAGCAGAGATAGTGCACCAGTTAGGATAGACTGGGTTACTCAATAATTACAAGCAATCTCAAAATCTCAGCAGCTTCAATAACAAAGTTTCATCTTTCACTATTTTTATATATCCATTAAGAGTTGGCTGGGTGCTCTGCTCTTTGCCTCATTCCAGGGTAAAGACTGACAGGGCAGCTATGAGAAGGAAAGAAAGTGTGTGAGTCATGTTTTGGCTCTTCCATTTTTCTCGTTCACTGACCAAAGCAAGTCACACGCCCACACCCAAGAAAGCACAATCCTATAAAATGTCCAGGAGGAGAATGGGAAATGTGGTAGATAGCATAACCACTCCCATGGATGGAATCTCTACCAAGTCCAGCAGCATTACCTAAAGATGTGGTTACTTGGTAATAGAAGGAAGACAACAGGGATTTTCCTAAATAAGAATTTTCCAAGCAGAGAAGTGAAGGAAAGGTATTTTGGCATAAGGAAGAGTTTTTTCCCGTGGCTACTCCAGAAGAACTTAAGGAAGTGTGGGAAATGAGTAGTCAATGAAACTAGAAAGAGCTTTGAATGCCATGCTATGGAATTTGAATTTGATCTTTTAGGATCAAAGATTTTGAGGTAGGATATTAACATGATTTGATCTGAACTTTAGAGAGACCACTCTGACTGTGATGTGGAGAATGAATTGGAGAAAGTAGAGATGGGAAGCAGGCAGGCTGGTTGGTGAGATCTGCAATGGCTCAGGTGAGACCCAAGAAGGATTTGAACTAGAGCGGCAGCTGTGGGGATGGAGTAGAAATAGATTCAACAAGTATTTAAGGGGTGACTTACAGACATGGCAAACAGGTCAGTTATTTTTCTGGCAGGGCCCAGTTTCTTCACATCCTGTGCAATTCAGCTCTGACCCAGACTTGCACATTACTCAGCAAAACAAAGTCTGCATTTAACACATCCACCATCCCTGAAGAGCATTTGCGTCACCATCTCCTGTTTGTTAAGCATGATTTGGGGGTGTCTTACTCTTTACTGCAAGCAGCTTATCAGACTATTCCTTCTGACCACATACAGTACTTCTCCCTAAGAGTTCTGGCAAATAGAATTGTATCCAGCTCATGGATGAGTAGTGTAGAATGAATGAGTAGATGGGTGTAATGAATAAGTAGTGTAGAATGGGTGAGTAGATGAATGAATTAAAAAATGAATGAAGAGATAGATGAGTGAGTGCGTGAGTGAGGGTGAGTGAGTAAACATCTAACACAGAAATCTTAGGTGCTAATATTAGAGAGATACTCACTGTTATATCTACACAAAAGCTCTGCACGTGTGTACCTATGAACCACTGCAGCAGCTCTTACCTCTACTTCCCGAACTCCTCAGTGCCGACAAGACAGATGAGCTTCCTTCCACCAGTCCCAAATCTTTCTCAGGCCCCAAATCTTGTTCTGTAGGGTTTAGAATTAAGCCACCTGTCCAGACCAGGGATCTGAAGGCCCAAGCAGGATTTTTGAGCAACTGCACTGCCAGCAGTTCTCATCTCTCCTCACTCCACCTGCATTATACCACTTCTCTGTGACAGTTTCCAGTCTGCCATCTCTACCTGGAGTCTGGACCTGTGCCCCATCTCTTTGACAAAGAATCCTGCTACTCGACTGATGCCCAATTAATTGGAAATCCTGGTATTGAATAAAAAATAAGCTTGGACAAGGAATTAGTTTTACCTCTACACTCTCAGTGCCTTGGAGGGCTATGCACACGTTAGGGATTCAATCACCACTTGCTAAACAAAAAAGCCATATGGTTTTGAGGTTAAGAGCATGGTCTTTCGAGTTAGACTTCTGGGTATAAACCCCTATTCTAGCACTTACTAACTTTGTGACAATGGTAGGCAGCCTCTAAAACGAATTGCAATGATTCCTGTGTCCTAGTATTCACACTTTTAGATAATTCTCTCCTGGGGCAATTTTCCTTTTGGGGCCTTAGTTTCTTCATCTATAAAGTGGGAATAATAACAATACCTATTTCACAAAGTTACCTCAAAGATTAAGAAAGTTATTATATCTGAAATGCTTGGAACAGTTCCTTATACAGCATAAGTGCCACTTAGGTGTTGTTTTTGTACTTCCACAGTCAGCCCTAGGAGCAGGGCCAGCTTCCGAGGGTCTGCCCAGCAGGACTGAACAAGTCTCACTGCCACTAGCCACCCTGCTCTCATTCAGACCTGCTCAGGGCAGCATCCACTCGGGGTCTAAATATGATTTGTCGTTGTTGTCATTGTTTAGTTGCTTAACTGTGTCTAACTCTTTTGTGACCCCATGGTCTGTAGCCTGCCAGGCTCCTCTGTCCATGGGATTTTCCAGGCAAGAATACTGGAGTGGCTTGTCATTTCCTTTTCCAGGGGATCTTCCCGACCCAGGGATCAAAGCCACATCTCCTGCATTGGCAGGTTGGTTCTTTACCACTGAGCCACTTGGGAAGCCCCTCAATATGAAGCTTCCCTCAAAGGGCAGAAAATGGACAGACAGAAAGGGAGTGGATGAATTAAGAGTTGAGCAGGCTTTGGTCTGACTCGCAGTTTTTCCTATCATTAACTATGTGATTTTGGATGGCTTGGTTTTTTCATCTCTCTGAGGCTCAGTTTCTTCACAATTTGAATGATAATAATAATACCTACTTTGTAGGGTGTTTGTAATTAAGTAAGATTTTTTAAAATATCTAGCTCATACTAGGTATTCAAGTATAGGAGTATTTGCCCCTTGTATTATTATTTAACTTTTCTAAGGCTTAATTTCTTCATTAATAAAGTGGTGACAATAATACCAGTCCTTTTATTTAATGGTTTTTTTTAATTGTGGTAAAAGTCACATAATATAAAACATACTATTTTAACCATATTTAAGTCTACAGTTCAGTGCCACTAAGTACATTCACATTGTTGGCCAACTCTCACCATCACCCATCCCCTGAATTTTTCATCTTCCTAAACTGAAACTCTATCCCCATTCCCCTTCCCCAAACCCCCACCCCTGACCCCTGGCATCTACCAATGTACCTTCTGACTCTATGAATTTGACTATTCTAGGTATCTCCTATAAGTGAAATCAAATAGTATTTGTCTGCAAAATAATAACAACAGTCCTGAAGTGGTTGTATGAGGATTAGAGATAATGTATTTATAGAGCTTGGGAGAGTGCCAGGCACATAGTAGGTGTGTAATAAAGCTTATAGTAGCTGTGCTTATTACTGTTGATGTTGTTTTTCACCTAAAGAAAAGCAAGGTTGGAAACAACAATCCAGCT